ACCACTCTACAGCGGAAGGATGATAGCCAAATTGTCAAATTCTTTTAAATACTATCTTTGACCCTTTTAGATTTTGATCAAGATGTCAAAATATCTCGAGTTGACAAATATATATATATATATATATATATATATTATATATATATATATATATATATATATATATATATATATATATATATATATATATATAGGGTTAAGTTCATTTGAGACCACCTATATTTTGTGAGACCGTGAGACGCATTTTTTTGTTTATTTATTTATTTATTTATTTTTAGTTAATTCATGTTCCGAAAATAATATTTAAAAAAAGAATTTTTTAATTTTTCCATTTATTTTGCATTTTAAAATTATTTTTATAATATGCACAATGTAATATTCTATTTAGAATATTTCACGTATTTTTCAAAAAAAAATAGAATTTTTTTTATTTTTTTTATTTTATTTAGTTAATTCAAGTTCCGAAAATAATATTTAAAAAAAGAATTTTTAGATTTTTCCATTTATTTTGCATTTTAAAATTATTTTTTAGAATATGTCAGTGTAATATTCTATTTAGAATATTTCACGTATTTTAAAAAAAAACGGAATTTTTTTTTTAATTTTTTTTATATTTTTTTTATATTTTTTTATATTTTTTTTAGTTAATTCAAGTTCCGAAAATAATATTTAAAAAAAGAATTTTTGGATTTTTACATTTATTTTGCATTTTAAAATTATTTTTAGATTTGATCTTACGGTCTTACAAAATTAAAATGGTTTCAAATGAACCTGAACCTATATATATATATATATATATATATATATATATATATATATATATATATATATATATATATATATATATATATATATATATATATATAGGGGAGGTTCATGCGAAAATGAAAATAATTTGCGAAAACGCGAAAACAAGAAAAACCTATGATATTATGTCACCTCAACATTATATTTTGGAAAATAATTCATCCAAAATTTGAAATACATGATGATAATCGATGATAGATGATAAACTGTTTCATATTACCAAAGTATGATTTTTAACATTTTTATTATGAAAACATGAATTTAAAAATGATTAAGGACGTGAAAAAATATAATTATAAAAACCGTCTTTAAATCTATATTACCATAACACCATCCAATGTAAACTTACTATCTTTAATTTATTGCTAATAAAATTATTTTTTTGTAGTACATGTGTTTAATTTTTATAAGATAAAATCTGTTTTCGCGTTTTCGCAGAATATATATATATATATATATATATATATATATATATATATATATATATATATATATATATATATATATATATATATATATATATATATATATATATATATATATATATAGGGGAAGGATCAAATGAGAACACCTAAAAGGTTGAGAACGCGAGAACAATTCTGGACCAATCAATATATAAGGGCATATTAGTAATTGTATATTTTAATTAAATTAAAATAAAATAAAAATCAATCTAAATCCCTTAAATTTAGGACCAGTTACCAAAAAAGAAATAAATATTCGATTTTTTTTTTATTTTTCTTATTAATGGGATATAAAAAAAAATATTTTTACCAAAATTTATTTTAAAATTGAAAAATATATATATATATTTTTTTCTTAAAAAATTCATTTTTTTCTCCTATTTCACGTTTTTTGTGTTAAAAAAATGCATATAAGTCGAACCCCAGATTAATACATTTGTATTCATAATTGATATTTTTAAAAAAGAAACTTGTTATCGATCCATCACTAATGAATACACATCGATTTACAAATAATCAAATTCTTTTTTTTAATCAACTGGAAATAAAAAATAGTGTAAAAACTATCATTTCTTCATAAAAAGAATACATCTAATCATAAAAAATACACTCATTAACACATAATTACACTGTTATTCACAAATGAATAAACTGCTATTAACAAATGAGTACACTATTATTCAGAATTGAATACCTCTAATCATAAAATAAATACATTCGTTCACACATGAATGCCCTGCTAATTACAAATGAATACACTACTATTCATACATAAATATGCATTCTATCATAAATAAATTCATCAAAATATAATATAACGTTACATCTAAAAAAATACAGAACATACTAGCTCAAATTCTTCAACTTTTATCTTCTCAAACAAATCCAATCCCAAGGGTTTTCCCTATTCTATAGTTTGATAGAGGTGGTATTGGTAAGCTTCCATTACCACTGATTTCACCCATTTTAAGAGACCCGGAGTTTCAATACCCTCAATCTTCAGGGTGCCTACATAAGAAAAAGAAACAGAACATAAAGTAACAAAATAGATCGATCGTTCATTGTTCTCACAAATTAACAAGTAGATCGATTGTTTTCACCAGGAAAGAACACATATGAATACAACATAAACAAAAATTTGAATAAAAATAATTAACTATTATTATATAATCATCAATGAATAAGGCAAGATCTTTTCCACTTTGTATTGTTTTGTTCATGTCTCTTCATTTATAATTTGACGTAATATGTGTTTTTCTAAATATCCTAAGTTTACAACTCAGAAGAACTTGTTTATTCAATCTAATAACTGGATATACTTGCGAAGCACATGGAGCATAAAAATTATCACTCATAGACAACCAAGATGTAAAGATACTAACTCATTGCAAAGCACACGAACACAAATTACAAAATGCCTACGGAATCTCGAAGGCAAACTACAGATAAGTAAGCACACAAACGCGTTCAAAAGTGAACAGTTATAGAAGAGGTAGATTTGGGGGAAACTGATTAATTTTACCCATTAAAGCTTCAGAGCCAAGACCCGCACCGAATTCGATGAAACAACGGAGGTTACAGACCCACAACATCGAAGAAGCCGGCAGAATCTTCCAACATAACAAAGCGGATTGTAAGAAGAATTTGAATAATTGAAACTAAAAACCTTAACAAAGAAATTAAAGAGATGGAAAATAAGTACATGTTGAAGTCGATAGTACCTTATTCGATGATGTGAGTGTGCGACAACAGGGGGAAGAAGGAATTGTGCTACGATCAGAATGAAGCTAGATACGGAAGGAAGCTACAACTTGCGTGTGTGTATATGCGATAACAAGGGAAACACCAACTGGAATCAGCGATTGGATGCACAGATCGGAAGCCTCAGGGAAGGAAAGTATCGATCATGAATTAAGAAGCTATGGAGGAAAACGATTTTTGGCAGAATTGAAAATGGAGAGGGTGGGGGTGTGCGGCCGATTTTTTCAAAATAATTAGATTAGGGTTTTCTAGTTAAGTAGAGAGAGAGAGAGAGAGAGAGAGAGAGAGAGATTATAGGAATTTTAATTTAAATAAATTATATGGATTTCCTATTGTACCCTTCTTGCCATTTCAAAGTTACATATTTAGTACATCAGTTTAATAAATGTTCATAAATGGTCCAGTTAATAATAGTCATAGATCTAATTATTTACAAGGTGGTGATCTGTTCTCGCGTTCTCAACCTTTTTGGTGTTCTCATTTGATCCTACTCCTATATATATATATATATATATATATATATATATATATATATATATATATATATATATATATATATATATATATATATATATATAGGGTTACGTTCATTTGAAACCACCTATATTTTGTGAGACCGTGAGACGTATTTTTTTATTTTTATTTTTATTTTTTTTAGTTAATTCATGTTCCGAAAATAATATTTAAAAAAAGAATTTTTTGATTTTTCCATTTATTTTGCATTTTAAAATTATTTTTAGAATATGTACAGTGTAATATTCTATTTAGAATATTTCACGTATTTTTCAAAAAAAAAAAAATTTATTTTTATTTTTTTTAGTTAATTCAAGTTCCGAAAATAATATTTAAAAAAAGAATTTTTAGATTTTTCCATTTATTTTGCATTTTAAAATTATTTTTTAGAATATGTCAGTGTAATATTCTATTTAGAATATTTCACGTATTTTTTAAAAAAAAAAACAGAATTTTTTTTATTTTTTTATATTTTTTTTAGTTAATTCAAGTTCCGAAAATAATATTTAAAAAAAGAATTTTTGGATTTTTCCATTTATTTTGCATTTTAAAATTATTTTTAAATTTGGTCTCACGGTCTCACAAAATTAGAATGGTTTCAAATGAACCTGAACATATATATATATATATATATATATATATATATATATATATATATATATATATATATATATATATATATATTATTCGTAGATAATTAGTACCGTATGTTTTCATATAACTTTTACACGATTCGTGACATAATTTCCTTTGACTATATATTCCTTGTATTTTACTCCATGATCAATAAAAAAATAACATAACTAGTATAACAATGACATGACAGTGACAAAAATGATATAAGCAATTATATATATATATATATATATATATATATATATATATATATATATATATATATATATATATATATATATATATATATATATATAGAACTAGGTTATAACTCGTGGAAACTACGGTCGATATATTTAAAATTTTTATATAGATAAAAAAAACCAATATATTATCGATTGTAAGTAATTATGAATTAATGTGTTAACTAAAATAAACGTAATAATGTTATTATAATATGATTTTGTATTTTCGAAATTTGAATCGAATTTGATTTGTTACAATAATAATAATAATAATAATAATAATAATAATAATCATAGAAAAATGACGTGTCAGGATCCGAATTTGGTTTCTTTCAGTTTTGAATTTTCTGATTTTCGGGTACCTCAATTGTTGGTGTTAGGATCCGATTGCTAGAATTTGAGTAATTATTTTGATTTATGACTCTTACTTTGTATTCATGAACTAAATCAAAAGCTATGTTTGTTAGAAATGGTTTTCTATATTTGATTTCGATTGACACGATTATCATAACACTGCGAGCACCCTCAACGACTTCAGCAACAAAGAAAATTTGGATGAATTTTTCATTATAAAAAGCACAAATAACCCTTCTAAATGGTCTTCCATTGCCGGGAACCCACCAACGACTTCCTTGCCACCGTCACCAGAAACCACTTCATCGATTTCAATCGCCCCTGCCAAACCTCAACTTCCACCTCCACCTCCTCGACACCACCTTCGCCACCTCCTCAACCAACAAACTACGCCTTCGGAGGGCACCTGCTTCTGCCCCTCAGCACGGCAGCGGATCAAACCCACATGACGGCGATGCCGATGGCAATCAAGAGTAGTGGAAGGAAGCGGTTCCGGATGAAATTCAGTTTGGATCAGAAAGAAAATATGACAATTTTTGCAAAAAGATTAGGGTGGAGGATGCAGATATGTGACGATAAGTTGATTGCAGATTTTTGCAATGAGATTGGAATCAAAAGAGGGATTTTCAAAGTTTGGATGCACAACAACAAAAACAATTTCGGGAAGAGAGAAAAAAACATCACCACCATCGCCACCACCGTCGTTGCTGCCGCCGTGATACGTAGTAATGACATTACTCATCAAGAAAACGGAAATGACGATGTTCATCTTCAAGCTTCTAATAACGGGTCATCTTCTTCATCTTGATTTTGTAACAATATCAATTAACCTATTTTAAGGCAAATCGAATAAAACCTAGTTTTTAAAGATAAGATTTTTAATTGTTCTTCAGCTCCATTTCATTTTCTGTAATGGTGTCTTTCTCTTTCACAGGTTGTTGCATAATGCATTTAGTCAAAATTCATTGCATAATTGTTGAATTTTGAGCTCCATTAATGATCTGTGAGCCAAATTTTGAAGCCAAATCTTAAAATACATGCTTCGGAATCAGAATTCCATTAAAATAATTGTTACATTCTTGACATTATTTTAGGTTGGAGGAGTTTTGGAATCACTTGAAACTGAGAATAGTATTCAAGCATTTGGAAGCACTTGAATTGGTAATCTCTTATTGTCTTATTAATGGCTCTGATATGGTAAAACCTTAATTACTTTTCTACATTTGCTTAATTTATTTTTTGTATTCTATGTATCCATCAACAAATTCAGAAATACATACAACTGGTCTTCACTTCAGCCCTTTATGTAACACCCACATATCCGAGCTAGTCAATTTAGAAATAATTGAGGTCGAAAATGACTTTTTGACAAAAGATTATTTAGAATAAATAATCTTAACCAAGTTGTAGAATATGTCTCAAGGGTTCCATACATATAAAGAATATGTCTTAACCAAGTCCGTCGAAGTTTTTCGGAAAACCCGGCACGACAACGGGAAACGTAAACAGTGACTTTTTGATAAAGGACTTTTTAGCCTTAGTTATATAAACAAAAGTTGTAGTATACGTTAAACCGAGCAAATCTGACTTCGTATGAAGAAGTTATGAATTTTCTAAGATTTAGCATAGCAGTGCACGACCCGAAACTCGAATTTTAGTTCGAGTGGTTTTTGGCCTACGCGACCTAAATGAGAGTTGAATATCTCATTAATAGGAACTCAACAGTAAAAAGACAGACAAAAACGGAATTTGTATGAAGAAGTTACGAATATTACGCGGACATTTAAAAGTATAATCTCCTTGTACTGTTATATTTAAGATCGAACGAGAATTAGCCAACAGAGTCTAAACGATAGTTGTAGATCTTGTTTTTACCTACACGTGAATATAAAGAACGTCGAAAACAGAGTTTGTATGCGAAAGTTATGAATTTTTGAAAATTGGTTGATTTCCACCCTGTATGTGATGTCACGTGTCAACACCAGGCTGTGTCTGGGTGTCTCCAGCTAGCTCCCGACGTGAGCATCATAAAATTCACGATGTTAGTGACCCTCCAACCCCCTATAAATAAGATTTGAATCCCTCTTCATTCTCCACACCTCTCATCGCTTCCCTCTCTATTTAGAACTTCTCGCTAACGCCGACCCCCCCCCCCCCCCCCGGAAAAGCCTAGGGAACCTCCCTAGCACGAGGTGGAAGCCCTGGAGCACCCAACGACTCTGAGAAGAAGAGCCTTTTGGCTCAGGAACGCTGCTCCACCGGAGACCAGTTTTGAGAAAAACCCGATGTAAGTAAGCTACGCCTAACCTATCTTTAATATAGTTTATGATTAAATATAGTAATGTTATTAGGACCTTATAATAAATATTTGGGCTATTATTATGAGTTATATAAGTATCTTTATAATATATTTTTAACCACTCGCGGTACGGGGAATCTGGTTTAAAGGGTCGCATAGGGTTGTTGGATTTCAGAAGTGCTATATGCCAAAATGGTTCTGCCCTCCGGTGTTTTATGTATGGCCCCTGTCTGTATATAGTGGTTGAGAAATATTGTTTCGTGTTTATATAATAGTAATAATAGCAAGACTATTAATTAGTTTTGGCGAATATTAGACTAAACTCTAGTGGTAATGATACTAGGTTCTGTCAAAGGAGTTGTTTAAAGTAAACGAAGTGCTTTCCGAGTACCCAATCACCACCTTTGCAAGTGAGTGCATAGTTACTTTCATTTTACACATAGATATGAAGTATTTTATATAAACTACGTGCTATGTGTACATATGTTTTAAATGATTTAAATTGTATACGTATATTATATCTACAAAATATGTTTGGGTAGAACATGGGTAGATTAAAGATGGGATAAATGATGAGCGATGAGAGATGAGATGAATGATGAGTGATGAGACATGAGATGAAGGATGAGCGATGATATATAAGTGGTAAAATATGGTGAGAAGCAATGACCTAAGCGATGAGCCAAAACGATGAGCCAAACGATGACTTAAGTGATGACCCAAGCGATGGCCCCATCATCTTGCAGAGTATGGATGACAACCATGGACTATTCTAGACAGTCCACTGGAACACTAGCAGGCTCACAACCTATAGGTGTTGTGAACGATGTGTTCACCGGTGTACTCAAAAAACCCATTGACATGTATTTCGAGTGGATTCTCAGAAACGATATTGTCGATAAACGAGATAACCCTGGCAGCTATGGATTTAGTGCCTGTTGAGCAAACCCTAGCAACGATGGATTTCGTGCCTATTCCTTAGGATAATCCTTAGGAAATAATAAACGAGGAATAGCAAATTCTTACGGTAAATCCTTATGAGTATAGAAGCTAATGGGATGGGTAATTGGGGTAATTGTTTGATGAGTAAACATAATAATTATATTATTGAGGGTTGAAACCCTTATGTACTCACCAGGTTTTCCAACCTGACCCACTCAGTTTACTTATATCACAGGTGTTGAGATGAAGTCACATTACATTGAGAGATTAAGGTGATTTAAATCATTAGTGATAATGAATGTAAGTTTTGTTTATGTTTATGTATTGACGATGACATCCCAAATGTTTTAAAATGAATAAAAATACTTTTCTTCGGAAATGCTTTGATAACGTATTTATCATGTTTTACTAGGAACAAATTTCGCAACATTTTAATTAAAAGAGGTACTCTGACTTTTATAAAGCATAAACAAAATCGGTTTTTTATGGCCGTGAAATGGAGATGTCACACTTTACATTACTTTCGTCTATACATTGTGATGGATCAGATGGGCCTAAGAATAGTAAATGCATGCAAAGGATATGTTCTAATTACGATTTTTCCATTGACATGATACAAGTGGTATTATATTAGAAAACAACAGAATAAATTAATTTTATAGAAAAATAGTTAATTCTAGACGAGAACAACAATTTAATTTTATATAAAAAAAGATAGTTAGTTTTATATTATATGTGAAGCCAATGGATGATTAATTGACAAACCTGCATTTGATTATCAAAAATTGGTGTTTCATAAAAATTATAATAATCATATTAATCATTTTTTTAACAAGGATTTGGTAATGATTATCTGGTAATTTAAAAGTTTTTTTTATTATATATAACTATATGTAATAATATTCTTAATGTAAAGGGTATCTCGACTGTGACTATTTTCCTTTTTTTCTCTGGTTTTAATTTTTTTTGGATTTTTTTTCAGGCAACGCCGACATTGGATATATGCTTGTGATTTTGATAACCTAACGACACATCTGTTTCCAAACCAACTTTTAACCATTACATGTTAGGCATGTCAGGACACCTAATCCAATGGTCACCAGTTTGCTTATTTATGTATTGCTGAAACAAAAAATAGGTGAAAATTTTATTGTTCTTATTAGTTTCAAGGGTATTCCAATTTGTGTTTAAATTATTGCTTATTCATGTATTGGAAAATCAAACTTTCAACTAACTTTTGGAGTTTAATGCAGATTTAAGTCTATAGTTGAAGGATATAATGTCATTATTTTATTAGGAAAGCTACCTCAACAGATGATGTTGATTCACCTGTATGTGTATTTGTTAAGACTGAAAGTTTTAGTCTCTTATTTACAGGCTCTTTGTTTTCTCACTTAATAACCTTAATGGGTTAGGTAAAGTTTGTCTATTATTTTACAATGCAAATTTCTTTTCCTTAGGTTATACAATTTGAGCCATGGGTGCACATGAAAGATGATGATATCAAGAAAATTGTCGCATCATTTTATCAAAAATATGGAAATCCCTTCGTTCTAAAAAAATTAAGAATATACCAAAATACTCTTTTTTAGCAATATGGTAAGGTACTTACATTTTACATATAACGACTTGCTTATAAGTTTTTACCCATTGTAACAATGTACTCTATAGCTAACAATTTCTAAATACTTTCCTTCTATGTCATTACAATGGTCTTCTGTTTAATCCATTTTGCATTTGTTACATATGATTCAAGAAAATATGACATGCTTTTGCATTCATTTTACTATTAATGTGTGTCTTAGAATTAGTGTTGATTGTGGATAATACAGATTTTGTGTGTTTATGGTTGGGAGAAAATTTAATGCTGGAATACCCATGTGAAGAGGTGCATATTTTATTCTTAAATAGTTCCTCTAGGCTTATTTTTTAGTAAATTACACATTCTGTCTCTGTACTCTGTTGATTTTCACAGATATATCCCCATCCAAAAAGTTTCTATACAAGATAAAACAAATGTTTCTCTTTTGTGCATTCTTATGGCGTATCCAATCCCGTAAAACAGAAATCTTCCCTAGTTAATTGCAAATTAAAACGGTATTTGAGACAAGAGTATCCTCCTTTTTTTCCAATTCCCCCCCTCCCCCCTTTCCCAATGTGATTTTTTTCTTTTGTTTTTCCCCTCATTATTTTGTTATTTTTGTTGTTATTAATTCTTCTTTATTTATTTATTTATTTATTTATTATTATTATTATTATTATTATAATTATTATTATTTAATCGTATAAAATTCGGACAACATTTTAAAATTCGGATGAAATTTTAAAATTTGTTGGATATTATAAATTTGGACGACATAATAAAATTCGAACAACTATATAAAATGGAACAAAAACAAATTTTATCTTTATTTATCACGTATATATTTATTGGTTCGTTATTACGTTTGCATGATGCATTATACGAATTGAAAACAAACTTTACTTTTGTTCCATTTTATATAGTTGTTTGAATTTTATAGTGTCGTCTGAATTTATAATGTTGTCCGAATTTTATATGGTTATCG